GGCTATGTCAGTTTGATGGGTGAAGATGAAAATACAGGTGGAAAGGATTGCTGGGACAAGCAATTTCACAGAGCGTGCCGCAGCTGAGGGCGAGGCTGCAGCATTCTCCAGCGAGAAGCACACAGCTCTAGCGCTGGGGAGACTTACGCACAAAGGCACGCTGATCTGAAGTCTCGAGAGGCACCCATAAATTATTTCTTAAAAAAGATAAATGACACAACAGACTTGCTGATAAATCACTTGTTGGTCAATATGAACCAGCAAATCACCAAAGGGGCTCTTTTAGTCAGTTAAAAACGCTTACTACAGTTAAGAGGACCAAACTAGCTTCCAGAAACAGCAGGTCCCTTAATCACTTGTTTGTATTTCAGGCAGCGTATCTCTGTACCGAGGCACTGGTTTTGAAACAGTCTCCAAACGTCATTACAGATTCTGCTCTCCCCAAGTTTTACATTCTAGGGTTCGGTAATATCGAGCTATTTAATCCTTGTCGATCTTCTGAGAAAACTTAGAGTCTTTGGCTGTTAGTGTGACCCCACGCTCACCATCACCTTCGGTGCTGTCCGAGCAGGAGGTCCCGATGCCCCCATCCCCGCTGTCGGCCACGCTTGAGCAGCGACTGACGCGGCTCTGGAACTTCACAGACAGCATCGGTGTTTTCCAGTCAGTCTCCAAGAAATGACCCTTCTGACTGGTGCTGGGATCTGCAGAGAAAAAGCCAGGGATACTTACGTTTTAGCCAACAGACTGAAAAGCCTTTTAATACACCTAATTAAGCCATACCTAATTCCCCATGCTACCAAAAACCAAACCGACCCTCGCTTGACTCCCTGTATTGTTGCTAAAGAAATCTCTTTTACAACAGGAAATGGCAGCAAGTACAGAGAAGTCACATAATATCAACAGGAGACTGAAAATCAGTCTTATTACGGCAGTCAGGATGCAAAAGCAGTTAATTATATTCCCATTGAGAAGCTTGGCGATATTACACCCAGGCGATGCTCTCAAACTAGAAAGAGCAGCAGCAGTGTTGGCACCCAGCAATACTGGTGAAGATACATTTTTGCATTAACTGTTAAGAACTCTTTCCAATTTATCAGTTATCACTCAAGAGATAGGTTCGTCATCAAATGATTCTCTACCCTTGGATACCCATGCAATTGTTTTATTTTGCAGGAATAAGACTTTTTTTTTTTAATAAAAAGCTTTTTGGTAAAGGACTCTTCTCAGGGCCACATCTCTCCTCACAGACACTGAAACAGGGTCCGACAGCGACGCGGCTTTAACGGACTGTCCTTACCCGATGGATTGTTCTGCTGGAGCATCAGGTCTGGATGTTTCTCAAGAGCAGCCATCTTATCTATCCAGTGAACTACAGGGCAATAAACAAAAATCATAGTTTAAATCAGCATAAACCAAACCCTGTTCCCACTAACCAAGCAAAGGGTACACACGTCAGCTGCTCTTCATTCAGAGTAACGCGGTATTTCAGTTAATCAGCACCTCCTCCCAAGGGCCCCTCTGTTTCATCCCCGCAGCAAGAGGCAAGACTTGAAAACCCCTTGCAGTTACTGTAGGTTTGCTTCGCGCCTGGGAAGCGAGGAGAGTTCCTGCTTGCAGCGTTCTCCGGGCACGCACCAGTTCAGCAGCGCCTCTCAACTGGGGCATGTGTTATCCCCATCGTAGTTACTGACAGCGTCGGTCACCGTCGTACCTACATGCTGGCTTTACGTCTACAGACACTAAAAATTTCCCTTTAAAAGTCTTGACTCCAAACCAGTTCATTTCTGCCCTCTGTAGAGGTCACTGAGCAACTACCTGCAGAAATGCAGTCATTCAAAACTTCGCGTTGCTGTGCCATAAATGGCAACCGTTATCTATCCGCAGCTTTGGTTTAATTTATCTGCTTATCCCAGTACTCCAGGCAGTGAATTTCCCGCCTCTGATGATGGGAATGGAATTTACAGCTCTCGGGCTTCCCCGTGGAAATTCAAGGCCTCTCACCTCTCCACCAGTCAAACACTAAATCCTCGATTACCAGCTCTTACAGATTTTTGCTTAACTGATTCAAAGAGCTCACAGAAACCATTAATTCTTAGAAAACATACGTATACAGATTTTACAAATAGGATAGCATCAGGAATACAACAGAATAGTGAACCAGAAGCAGCATGGCACTCAGTGAAGAAATAAAACACTTCTAGCTAAATGTAGTGCTTATTATGCTTAATTTGGGTATGTTTCAGAAATTCCTGCGTTTAAATCTCGGTCTCCAGCACTACAGTCAGCTTTAACAGGGAAATTCAAGCGTGGGCTCTTGAAATAAAACAGGCAAAGCCACCGAAGCGTTCCCGCCTCCCCCAGCGCCTCCCTCGCAGCCCCGCACCATCCTGCACGGCCCCCTCCCCGCAGCGGGCACGGGGCAGGCCCCGCAGGGCACCCGGGAAGCGCTTTACCGGGCGGAGGGGGGGCGCCGGTGCGCGGAGCGAGGCAAAGCCAGGATGCGGGAGGAAGCCCCTCGCCCCCCAGAAGGGGACGGGAGAACGGCGATGCGGGTGCAGGGAGGGCAGAGGGGAAGGCGGCTGACCCCGAAGGGGGGGCAACGGCCTGGAAGGCGCAGCCGGACCCCGAGGGGCCGGACCCCGAGGCGCAGGGGGAGGCCGAGCCGCCCGGGCCGGAGGAGGAGGGATGGTTTCACCGAGGGGAGCAGAGGGAGCGCTGCTGCCCCACCCCGGGGCCCG